CAGCAGGCGAGACAGGAGAGATCTGCTGCACCATGTGGGTTGCTCCCTGGCAGGCCAGGGATCGAACTCATGCTGCAGAGGCTGTGGATTGTTTCATAGTGCAGTGCTTAACCCCTTGCGCCACCAGGGAGGCCCAGAATTTTCTTTAAAGTCAGTTATTAGAACCTTATTAATTTCCTTTAGTAGTGTCATTTTATCTGAATCTTCATGATTTTTTTATTCTTTGGTTGCTATCTCTAAAGTTGAGTAAATATTCCCCATTTCCAGATTTTACAGATTTATTTCAGCAGGCAAAGAGAGCCCAGTTCAGCTTGGGGTACTGGGTGGATCAGTTGGCAGCACCTGTGGACAGACAGGGCTTGCTATTAGAGTCTCTAGATTGGTGAGGCTACTGGCCATGCTCTGAGGTCAAGGAGCTCCTCTGACTGGACTCCATGGTTGGGCAAGTTTGGGCAATTTCTAATGGTGAGATGGGATCTTGGACTGTGCTCCCTGACTAGAAGGCTAGCAGGGATTGTGTCCTTTAGAGCCACAGACAGGGTTTCACAGTTGTGTGGAGCCTCAGGCTGTCCTCTGTTATCAGGTGGGGCCACAGGGTATGACCCAAAATTTGGTGGGGTGACTGTCTGGCCTCCCTCCTTAGGTGGCGCCTCAGGCTAGGTTCCAGGATTGGACAGGCTTAAACACTGCTCCCTGCCTGCCTAGACTGTATTCAGTGTTCAGTAATTGGGCAGTTCTGCAGACCAGACTCACCTGCAGATTGAGTCTTTAGACTGAGTTTCTGGTTGGGTGGGGCCACTGACTGGGCTTTGAGTCGGCCCAGGTCACTGCTCAGACTCCCTGGTTATGAAAGTTCAAAGGTTATACTGAATAGTCAGATAGAGATGCTGTCTTGATTTCCTTTATAAGCAGAGTATAGGATGAACTCTGATTTCTCTAACCAAGCTTCCTGGTGAAGGGAGTAGAATTCTGGAGGCTGTACTCATCAGCCGGGTGGGGCTATGAATATATTTCCCTGTCTAGCTGGACCATAGCACAGACCTCACGGTCAATATGGTTTGTGCTGTATTCCCAAACCAGGCAGAATTGCTCACCAAGCTCACTGACCAGAGGGAGCCTCTGGCTTCAGTATGCAGATGGACATCGCCCTGTTTGGGATTTCTGTTCTAGTGTTGCTTGAATGAGGTCTGACACTAGTGGAATGCTGCTTGTCCACCACTCGTCTGGACCTCCTCTATCTGATTCTCAGTAGTTGAGTCCTGCAGAATTCCTCAGTGATACACATGAGTAAGGCCCTCATGGGTTTCTAGGGGAGTTTATTGCAATACTGGGAGATCTGTTTATCTACGTTGGGCTCTCTTTTTCTGATTGGAAAAACAGGGGAGTTCTCTTGGTCCAGTGCAATGCCGGCCTGGGGGGTGGGGTGATGTAGTCTGAGGGTGGCTGCTCCTCTTTCCCTTCTCCTGTGTCCTTCTCACTCTCTGTGCTTCAGTGGCATGCTTCAGCCTCATTTGTGTTCTGCGATTTTCACAGCGGTGTCTTATCTGTGGGTAATGACCAGTTGGCGTTCTTGTAAGGGAGAACGTAGTTGAGAATGACTTACATTGCCATCTTGATAATATCATTTCTGAAAACACTTTTCCCAGAGAGCATTTGTGTGGCTCTGTCTATTCTCTGGGGACACTGTCTACCTGAGTTGCCTTTTTCTGTTCCACCATGTTTTGAATTTGAATCAAAACTTAGTTTGAATATGTTCACAGCTCAAATTTTCAAGAAAGATTTTTCTCATCTCTCCTTTTAGCTAGGGGGTGAAGATTTGTTTTTCTTTAATTCTGACAGTAAGGATTCAGTTCATTGCTGCCATAGATTTATGAGAATGTTGGACTTTCCATTTGGCCTAATCTTGGCATCAATAGTGGTTTCTCTTGCAAGATATGATGCCTTGGAGTCAAAGAGGTTTGATATATTATGCAAACTTATTTGGCATGGAGTCCTGTTTTTTCCAAGCGACATGCTTACTGTATAGAACAGGTGCCAGACAGAATCCACTTGAGGAAATTCTGAAATCGGTATCTCTACAGTGACAGGTTTAAAACATGACATTGTCCTGTTATTTATCCTAGGTACAGTGTTTTGGATGCAATAAGATGTACAGAGGACAAAGTGATGCTTAGAATACTTTCTCCATAGGAACAGGCTACTCATGTTTCTCTCTTTCAAAAACTTCCACTTTCTTACTCAACTCTAGTAAAGAGGGCAAACAGTCCCATTTTGTATGTTAGAGTGTGTGTGTGGTGGGGGTAGGAGGGTTTACATTTAAACTCCTAAGTCTTTTCCACTATCCTTATAGTTTTTTTTTCCGATTAGAAAAATAATTATATATGAATATATATCCACTTATATGTGAGACTGTGCTCTTCATATTTTTCTTATTTAAAAAGCACTACTTATCATTAAAAAGCACTACTTATCATCACGACTTACCATTATTTAAAAAACACTACTTATCTTATTTTCAAAACACTACTTATCATTCATTTTGAGAGGACTCTCTTGATTTATTTATACTCTCCAGTAGTGTTATGAAGATTTGAATTGTAATTTTTTAATTAAACAACTTATTCCTTGTCCAATGTCGTGAGTCATACAACATTGTCATTACTGGTAGGAATGCTTGTTTGTCATTTTGGGAAGAGAAAAAGATTGATGAATAGGACATGTCCTGGAACTTGTTTTGTCACTGGAACACAAGGAAATACATCCATAACTCTAACAGAAATATGACAATTGAAGTTAATATGAGAGGAAGGAATCTGGATAAATGTGTGAGGATCTAGTGTAACTTCAGAAGCTCAATCAATCTCCAGTGAGTGTATGAATAGTTTACAAATTACGGGGAGGTCTGATGGTCTGAAATCTAGCAGCTTGCAGGGATGCATGGGAAAGTTTGTGTAAAGGGTTAAGACTGTAAAGGCAGGAAAGCCTCCCCTTACACCTTTGCATTTTCTAACTGACCTGCGGTTAGCTGATTTTACAATTTTTATTTCTAAAATTCCATTTAAAACAAACTTATTTAGAAACATCTTTGAAAAATTTCATGGCTGGAAGAAGCAGCTTACTTAACAGTATTTTCTACAGCAGGAAATGTCTTCTAGAACAATATGAACACCCAAAGGTGAGTGGCCTAGTGTTAGTGATACTGAGAACTGACAGTGAGGACAAGTTTGGATATGCAGCTTACTTAACAGTATTTTCTACAGCAGGAAATGTCTTCTAGAACAATATGAACACCCAAAGGTGAGTGGCCTAGTGTTAGTGATACTGAGAACTGACAGTGAGGACAAGTTTGGATATGAAATCGGGATTGACAGGGGTCATTGTCTCGTTTTCCATTCCCTGCTTTCACTAGGAGGTCCTGATTAGGAAGATGTTTAACTGAAAAATCTTCTGGCTTTTCCCCCCATAGTCCTGTTTTTCTAAGGACGATATGCTGTAAATGAGGCAAATAAAAAGAAAAAAAAAAACATATTTAGGAGGGGACTAGTCTACAGAGAATTTGAATAGGGGACATTTTTGGGGACACACTTTTTCCCCCTCAATGAAATCATTTAGTTGACATTGGCCTCCAAAGTCACATGTTAGGTGACAAAGTTTTCTCAGTCCCCAAAGCCTATTAGATAGCCAGTTTGTGGTGCAGCAGACCTTTCCTGACCTGCCCGCTGCTCCCCTCAGCAGTGTATTTCAGTCAGTCTGCCTGTTCTGCTCCCCACTCTGTCTCTGGTGAATCCTCTCACACACACCCCCATCCCATACATCTGACCTGTACCCCAGTTCTTTTATGCATAAGTAAATAAATCTTAAAAAAAATAGGTAGCCACAGTTTGCAATGTGTTAGTGAAAGTCACCCATCTGAGGTCTTCCCACACCCCTGCCATCTCTCTCCTAAATTGCTTCAGGGGAATTGGATGCTCCCTGGTGGAAAGGAGCCAATAGTAATAGGAACTCTAGGACCCATCCATTTAGTAACAGAAGGTATTTGTCTAGTGACTCTTTCTTAGCAGCCCTGATCTTCAAACACTTTATCCATTTCCAGCAGGAGTGAGACTCACACACATCCTCTGACACAGAAGCTATAGAGTCTGAAAGCTCATTCATTGAAGAAGGATGAGCTAAGTGCCAGTCAAAGGCTAAGTGTTCTGCTGGACTCCAGGGACAGCAGGATGAACCAGAGGGATACAATTCCTGCCCTCTGGGAACTTAGAGTCTGGGAACAATTTTATTTTCATGAATGTGAAACTGATGTTAAATGAGTCCAGATGCACCTTTCTCTTATTTATCCAACAAGAGTCTTTTGAATTAGATTTGTCATGGATGAGCCATGTCTTGGGGCCTACCCTGTTGAATCTCAGCATGATTCCTAAGTACCTAAATATTTTTTCCTGCATCTCCTAACAGATTGTTTTGAAGCAATCCATTCCGCAGCCCAAAATATCTGATCAAATGTAAATAGATTGTGCTTTCTTAGACACAATGTTGACTTTCAAAAACACCAGTTTAATTACTTAATGAAGTGACATGTGCTATTTCTTTACTACCTTGGCCTGTTTCTCTGGGCCTGGTCAGTTTTATCCTGGCTCTTATTCTCTGATGATAGCTCCGGTTAATTCCAGCCAGTACCCCATCCTGGTAGGTGGGCTGGGACAGATGTACAAGTTGATCCAGATGTGGTAGGCAAGTGTCCATTTACTGCCTGTGGGATGGTGGCTCTTAGGACATCTCAGATGGAGGATGATATGATGCAGACTGGGTTGTGTTTGGTTTATGGGCTTTCCCCTCCTTAAAACTTCAGTACCTTGCCCTGTTGTGATTGTTTTGGGATACATGGGGAAAGAATCTGCCTGAGAGGGACCAGATTCTCTTTGCTTGATTTGCTGAGTGGACTTCATGGAGGAAACAGCTGGAACAGAGAACAAAAAAATCTGTGTCTTTTTGATATCTAGAATCTTCGCTTTGCTAGGGAATTTCAGAGATGTGGAGTCCAGACCCTCACTTTATTGAAGGAGAACCCACCTTTCTCAAGAACTAAAAGATCCATGGTGAGCAAGACTGGTGCTGGAACATGCGTCCTGAATCTCCCTTTACTGCTTTAATGTTCTCCTTTATAAGTGACCACTTGGGTAGTCATAGACTTGGAAAAAAGAGAATGACTACATCTTTTTTTTTTTTTTTTTTAAACTGTCTTCTCTGGACCCCTGCCAGGCAAATATTTGCTTTATTTAGACTCTAAAGGAGAAACATCCAGAAACAATAAGCTATGATTATGGGGAGAGTATGAACTGTGTTACTGACAGAGTAATGTCTGGTGGGGGGCGGTATCTCCCACAGCCTAGGCCCTTAGAAAGGTGATGTCTACCCCTAGGCAAACTGCTTCCTGAAATGACCTGGAAGCTTGAGGCCAGTCTGCCTGCAAGCACTCCAACCAAATTGCCACCGAGAGATACTTTAAATATCATATCTCCTGATGAGATTTCCAACCAGATTTCTGGACTCGAGGATTTTTGGATAAAGGTCAGATTAGTCTCTAAACTGAATCATAGATCCTTTTTAAGGAAATGCCTCATCCCAATCTGTTATCAAAACCCATGATTTTCATGGAGTCCTCTGTGGGTTTGTATGCACTGGAAACATATAACTTATTTTAAAAGCACTTATGCCCTCATGGTTTTTAATAAAGGTGAACGGTACCTGATCCAGGGATAGAGTAAAAAAAAGAACAAAAGTTATTGTTTGAGGCTCAATTTAGAAAATTCACATTTGAAACTATGCAACTACTGTCACCATGTAGTTGTGAGATGATGTTATCTGATGACAATTTGTCCTTGTCAGTGAGATACAGAGCTGTGTATGGTTGGATTCTTTCTTTCTTTTTTTTTTTCATTTCTGCCATGATATGGAAACAATTATCTTGTCGAGGTCAGAAAAACTTTAGTTCTATCAAACAATATAAGAAAACTCAACAATGAAAAGTTGGGAAAGTGACGCGCAAGAGTGCAACTAATCTCAAGGCTTTGATGACTTCATGGATTTGGTTACCTGTGAGCCCATCTCAGCCTGGCAGGGCAGCTCCAATCCCCCTGGCTTTCCAGATGTGCCCTGTGGAAAACTCAGGCAGGGGAGGGTGCTCAAGCTTGAGCTGTTCCTCCTGGATCCTGCTAGTGGGTTTCTACTAATTATACAAATCAGCAACAGATGTGCTAAGGCTGAGCCCCTCATATTTACCCTACAATGTGTTTTCTTTAGATGACAAATTTTTTAAGGCCCCAAATAAAGAAATATCATTATATAGTTTTCCTCTATAACACACAGCAAAAGGTGGGGGGGGATACATGACTCCAGGGAGGTACTTCAGAACAAAGGGGTAGTTTGAACAAGGAGCTAAGCTAATAATCTCAGAGCCAAAGCCCATTGTGACCATTTAAGAACCTTATTAAGATTTATTTAAATGTGGTTTTCTATAAATCATAGATTTTTGTGTTTCTCAAGCTATTTTAGGTTTAATTTATAGCTGGAGTATTCTTGTGCTCTATGAAACGGTTGATACGCCTGGTAAATTACTCCCACCAAGGGAGCAAGGCAGAGGGGATTTCTTTAAGTAAGAAAACAGCAAAGTTGGAAAGCCAGACACCTCTCTTCTCCATTCTTTCTCACCTGCAAGGAGACACAGAGCGTTCCAAGGTGACCAGTGGCATCTTGCAGGGGAATGAATTTTCTTTCTTTGGAAACCCAGAAGTAGGGGGCCCTAGGTCAAATTTTCATGTGTTGGCCTCCTGTTTATATAAATAATTAGAGTCTCCCACAGTCACAGCGTCAGCACCATTCTTCTGGTCTCGTCTCAGCTGGAATGCTTCCCACACCGGAGACTCCATAGGAATTCTCCCCTCCCTCCTCCACCCTTTCTTTCTCTTTGGGGTAACTGGTTAGTCTACATGTGGGCACCCATGTGTAAGTGGGGGGCAGAGGGGTAGTAGAGTGGCAGAAGGCTTAAGCATGCCTGGAAGAGCAGAAACCGGGGTGGGGTCCCTATGGGTTGTTACCTGGACAAGTTTTTCTCTTCCAGCCAATCCTAGTCACCAACGTGGGCTGGGGGCCTTAATTTTTTTCCATGGGTACCTATGGACTATGAGACATGGAGCATTGAATATAACTATTTGAGTAGTTGGAGATCCCTTGCAAGGGTAGAGAGAAGCCTGTTATAGGAGAAATACTGCTCATGACTCGAATTCTTGTGGAAGTCTCAAAAGCAAAAATTCTGCTAAGTCAATGCCCATCAGAAGGGAAGGTGTTTTTGAAGGTGACTGACTCAGCTAAACACCTTTTGGTAGAAACTGAAGCAAAACTAGCATCAGCATCAGCAGTGATTGATACAATTAAGTATTCTTGAAAATTTCTTTAATTTTTTTACTTTAATTTTTACTCTAATTTCTACATTCTTTACTCTAATTTTCTAATTATATCCAGGTATTCATTTTCTTTGCTTTACTGTAATTTTCTATTACTTTCATTAATATAGCGGCTTATTATAGACATAAATATCTGTGGTTAGTTGTCTAAATATTGTATTTTTATAAAGAATGTCTAATTATTGGGAAAACATCCCTTTTTATTTACCCATTAAACATATCACTTGAAGGTTGGATTCTTATATGCTCCTTCCTTTCTTCCTCCCTCCTTCCTTTCATCCATAACAATGGTGCTCACTTTTTTTTTTTAAAGATTTATTTATTTATTTATGCAAGCACTGGGTACAGTCAGAAGCACGGGAGGGTGAGAGAATTCACCAGAGCAGGGAGCAAAGCAGGCAGAAGGACCGAAGTACACTGCTGAGGGGAGCAGCGGGCGGCAGGAGAGGTCTGCGCGCCATGTGGGACCCTCGCTGGTGGCCGGGGATCGAACCAGTGCTGCAGAGGCTGCAGGCAGCTTTGCAACCCAGCGCTCAACCGCTGCGCCACCAGGGAGGCCCAAAGGTGCTCACTTTTGAGTGTTATCTGTTTATCAGGTGACAATACACTGACATTTACTTCATTTCGTTGTGATCATTACAGCCTCCATCTAATCCCTATTTTATAGACAAGGAAACTAAGACTCAGAAAGTGGTTTACTGACGCACACACACAGTTCTGGTTCTGACACCCCCAGCCTGCCCTTAAGGTAGCTCATTTTGTTGAAATACTTGCCACGTGCCAGGCAATGAGTTAGGTTCTTAGACCCCACAGATAAGTTGTATAACTTATGAGTTGTATCACCTTCTCCTGGGGAGCTCACAATCTAATGAGGTGGGCCTGGGAATGGGCACATAATAATTATAAGTTGATAGTTATGAAGCAGTAGGTGTGGAGTATCATGAGACCAGCAGAGAGTGGCCTGGAACCCAGTCCTGCAGGAAGGGGATGTGAAGGATTTGCAAAGGTTTTCTGGAGATCTCTTTCTGGGCTACTCTTCTAGGATCAGTCATAGTGAAGTGAGAGAGGAATTTAAGCAGAGGAAACAATAGGAGGAAAGTGATGGAAGTGAAGAGTGGCTTGGGCAGGAACATAAGTTTCTGGTGTGGTTAAGTCAGCGGGATTTAGAATTCATTTAATGTGGAGTGTTGGAGCAAGAGATACAGAAATATCAAATTACTGTCGGGTGCTAGTGTGGATGTGATTTTTGTCAGAAACTCAGAGAACACAAAAGGCAAGCCTGGTTAAAGGGGTGTGAGAATGGGTACAGGTCTGGACCTAAGACTGTGGCACATCCTCAGGGGGATGCCTAGTAGTGAGTTAAATGTATAACATTTATAAAAAGTTATAAAATAATCCAACAAATATTTATAGAACTACGTTGAAGAGATATTGAAGTTATAGATGTGACTGTCTCTATTTCATGGAGATTGTATTCTAGTGGGATGAAGAGAGAACAAATAAGTAAATCAGTAAGATAATTTCACAATTGTTATTAAGAAAGAATCAGGGACTGTAAAAAGTCCTATTGATAAGGTGACACTGGAGTTAAAGGTTTAGAAGGTAACTTTCATATTAATATCCTGCGATTAAAGTATTATAGGCATAGGGCATAGTAGGTACAAATGTCCAGAGGTAGGAATGAGCCTGGTAAGTTCAAGAAAGACAATTGGAGAAACTGAAGCTCAATTTGTGAGGGAGAATAAAGAGAGATAAAGTTGAAAAGGTAGGCAGGCATGGGATCAAGATGGGTTTTAGACAGGGATGAAAAGTGTAGATTTCATTTCAAGCAAAATGGGAAGTCATTGGAGGGTTTTAACCTCAGCAAATGCCACTGTTATCATTTTAAATAACAAAACCAGGGCCTCCCCTGGTGGCGCAGCGGTTGAGTGCTGGGCAGCCTCTGCAAATAGGGTTCGTTCCCCAGCCGCCAGTGAGGGTCCCACACAAAAAAACAAAAAAACAAAACCAGCAGACAAAATACTATTTATTGTATACGCTCAATTATGTAAGCAATGTGGAGGGTTGGGGGAAGGCCTTTAGGGAAATAGGTCAAATGATCCCATTAATTGAGAGAGATGGCTTCATGCCTGGTCAATGTTGTCGATGCTGAGGTGTGAGTACCTGGATTACAACTTGGTCCTGATGCTTGCTAAGCCAGTCATTTTCAAACTTTGTGATCTTAGGATCCTCCCTCTCAATATTTATCATATGGAAATTAAAATGGAGAAAAATTTAAACATTTATTATGAATTCATTAGAAATAATAGAAGACATGTTTATGTAAATGAATATTTTAATGGGAAAAAAAGAGACTATTTTCCAAAACAAAAATCAAGTGAGAAGCATGCCATTGCTTCACACTTAATCTCAGTATTTGACATAATAGGAGGCAGTTGGGTTCTCATATCTGCTTCTGCTTTTAGCTGGCTTTGATATCACACGCCCTATATACTCATACAACTGTATGAGTGAAAAGGACAAGCAAAAAACCTAGAATTATTTTGAAAATAGCTTTGACATTGTGGGTTCCCTACAAGGGCCCTAGACCACACTTTTAAAATGTATTTGATGTATGACATTGAGATCTATTAATA